TTGACACAGAGAGAGAGACAGCTAGAGAGGGAACACAAGCAGGGGGAGTGGGAGGAGGGAGAAGCAGGCTCCCTGCTCTGCAGGGAGCCCGATGTGGGGCTCAATCCCAGGACCCTGGGATCGTGACGTGAGCCAAAGGCGGAGGCTGAACAACTGAGCCACCCAGGCACCCCACCGAGGGCATTATAAAGAGAGGATGAGGGAGTCATGCCAGAGGTGAATTAAATCAGAGAAGTAAAAGATTACAAAAAGTGGGAAACGTGAAACCCCCTGCATTTACTCACTGGGAGACAGAGGCCAGACTTTTCATTGTTGGCTGAACAAACCATGGATGCCTTGAGTTTTCTCAGTAGGGACTAAGGGTGACTGGAGTCACCCTAGGGGTGGGGTCTTGAGCTGTTGTTAGGAAGTATGTTAGTGTTTGGGCGAGTCTGCATATGATAAGCCAAGGTTGAGGCCCCTTTGAGAAGAGGGCTCAGAGGAGTCAGGCTAGCGTTTGCTTAAGGAGAGAGTCTTTGTGAGTGTAAAATGGTGTGGTCCTTTGTATGTAGTGTGCATATACCACAATTTTTTCATCTGTTCATCTGATGATCAGGCATGTTGTTGTATCCAATTTTTTGGTCATTGTGAATAGGCTACAATAAACATTCTTAGAGCAGTCTTAAATTTCTCTTGAAATTGCTTAGTGGAATTGCTTAGTCACAGCGAAGGGATATATTGAACTGCTAGACTAATTTCCAAAGTGGTTTATCAGTTTACACTTCCCACCAGCAATACAGTAACACTCCAGTTGCTCAGCATCCTCGTGAACATTCTGTGTTGTCAGTGAGGGTGAAATAGCATCTCATTATGGTTTCACATTGCATTTCCCTGGTGAAGCATGATCTTAGGCACCTTTTCGTGTGTTTCTTGGGCATTCCGACATCTTTTGTGACCTGTCGAACGTTCAAGTCTTCTGCCCGTTTTTGTTGTTAATGTTGTTTTTGGTTTTGACTTATTGGAGTTTATTATATATTCTGAATAGGAATTCTTTGTCATACAGATGTATTTTAAAAATACATGTATAGGAAAATAAAAATTTTAAATACTTAGAGTAGCATCAAAGCACGTAAACTGGTTGGGGTGACTGGCTGGCCCAGTTGATGAATCATCTGTGTTTTGATCTCAGCTCAGGTCTTAAACTCAGGGTTGTGAGTTCAAGCCCTGCACTGGGCTCCATGCTGGGTGTGGAGCCTACTTACACAACAAAAACAACAACCAAAACAACCCCAAACTGGCTGGGAATAAGTCTCATGAAAGACATGAAACACCTTTACACAGAAAAGTAAAAAACTTTGTTGAGAGGAATTCAAGAAGACTGAAATAAATGGGAGCTCTGTTTTGTTCATACATCGGGGAAGATTTGATGTCCTGGAGATTTCTGTTCTCCACGCCTTGATTCATGCAAACAGTGCAATCCCAGTTAAATCCTAGCCATGTTTTTTAGAAGAAATGAACAAGTTGATTCTAAAATGTATATGGAAATGCAAAGGGTCTGGAATAGCCAAAAAAGTCTTCAAAAGAAGAACACAGTTGATGAACTTACACTGCTTCTTCTTGCTTAATTTTAAGACTTAGAGCAAAGCCACAGTAATCCAAGTCTTTGACACAAAGAGAGATCAATGAGCAGAGCAGAGAGTCCAAAAAATAGACCAAACGCAAGTACTGTCGACTGATTTTTGCCCAGAGTGTCCAGTCAGTTCAGTGGTGGAAAGGGAAGTCTTTTTAATGAATAATTCTGTGTGACCTGGACATTCAGGCGGAAAGAAAACGGACCTTGACCCCTCCCTCATTCTGACATACACACATTAATTTGGGATGAATCATAAGCCTAAATATGAAAGCGAGAACCAGCGGCGCCTGGGTGGCTCAGTCGCTTGAGTCCGACTCTTGATTTTGGCTGAGGTCATGATCTCGGGGTCATGAGATTGAGCTCCGTGTGAACCCTGTGTCAGGCTCCACGCTAAGCGAGGAGTCAGCTTGAGATTCTTTCCCTCTCCTGCTCCCCCCTGGGCGCGCTCTCTCTCAAATAAATAAATCTTAAAAAAGGAAAAAGCTAGAACCGTAAAACTTTTGTATGAAAACATGGGAAAATGTCTTGACAACCTTGAGGTAGACAAATGTTTTGTATGCAGAACACAAAAAGTTCTAATTAGAAAGGAAAAATAGATACACTAAGAAAACGAAGAGGCAAGACAGACTGGGAGAAAATATTCAGAATACGTGTTCTTAAATGTTTTATTTTTTCCAAAAGTACTTTAGCATTATTCAGATCCATGGTATCTTATTAGTGTATTCTTTATTAACTGTTTTTTTCTTTTTTCTTTTTTGTTTAAGTCAGATATGAGACATTGTACCGTGGGAAATTTCTGATTGGCTTCTCCTCCTTATTCACCCTCTGGTCAATGTTGGTTCCTTTTCCGTTCATGTCTTGCCCAGTGTTCAGGGACTCCTTGCAGTAGAGACAGTAGATTTTAGATCCTATTGATCCTTGTGAAGTAACTGGCAATTCGATGAAGCCAGAAAGCAATAGCAGTAGCTTCCTTTGGGAGGAAATGATAGCCTGTGAGTCTTAGTCAATTGAGGCCCAGTGTTGTTTTTTGTTTTTTTGTTTTAAGATTTTATTTATTTATTTATTTATTTATTTATTTATTTATTTGAGAGAGCGAGACAGAGTGGAGGGGGGCAGGGGGAGAGGGACAAGCAGAATCTGCACTGAGCGTGGAGCCTGAACACGGGGTTCGATCTCAGGAACCTGAGGTCATGACCTGAGCCGAATCAAGCGTCAGACACTTAAACGCCTGAGCCGCCTAGGCACCCCTGTTTTTCGTGTTTTTTTGTCTTTTGTTTTTGTTTTGTTTTTCTTAGGTGATTAAACACTTAAGGCCTTGCGGATCTGCTGAGGAAAGCAACAGCGCTCACAAGAAGGGAAACAAACTCAAAGTCTGTGTAGGTACAAAGTCTGTTGCGCGTAAGACTTTGCTTCCTGCCTTCCATTTATAAGCAAGAATAAACGCAACAGGAAATAGGAACCCAAAACTGAGACTAAAGGACGTAAAAGAACAACAATAAAATTAAAAATGAGAGGTAGAGCATATCTTCAAGGCCCGTATGCAGCACGCAGTTAAAATTCCCAACTTGAAAACCGATGCTGAGAGTATTGGATTGAGTCTTGCAATTGCAGATATATACATTGTAGGTACATATATATGTACATACAGGGCACCGCATATCTATCTATCTATCTATCTATCTATCTATCTATCTATCTATCTATCTATCTATCTACATGCACTGTGTATCCCTACAGAAGCAGACACACATACACACCGACACCATATCAGCAACTGAAGTGTTGGGGGAGGGATGGAAGTCCAAGTGGGTAAGTAGGTTTGCAAAGCAATGGAATTAAGTTTCCTCCGAGGTTGCACAGCTTGAGGAAACAACCTCGACCTCTGTCTGTAAGCGGTGCCTTCCACAGAGGGTGCTTCTGAGGGCTGTACGTGTTCCTGTTTGTCCAGCGTGTGGAATAATGCCTGGCATTGTAGCCAGCACTCATGAGTGTTGATGAGAAGTGAAATGAAGCAGCCCCAGCCTGGACCCTCACTGGCTGGAAGAGCGGGGAGGGCCCCTTCCCATTCCCTCCGATGGAGAAATATCCGGTGGAGGGCATGTCACACCTTTCCTAGCAAGTTCCCACCGTTGCAGGGGACGCTCCTGCCGAAGGGGCCAAGTCAGTCAGTGCTTCTTGAATGAACTGGTGGCTGCAGCAGATCAGTGTTTCCCACGGGAGGAATGGGAGATGACTTGAGGTGGCACCCAGATAGAAGTTTTACATTTTAATAGGTATTTATTACAGGGTGTGTTAGAAGAAAATATTAGGTAGCACGTCAGACCTGGGTACTAAAAAGAAGTGAAAATTGCAGGGAACACTGGATTGAATAAACCCTGAGAAAAGGTCTTTCTAAATATGGGATCTTTTTTTTCCTTCTTTAAAGATTTTATTTCTTTATTTTGACAGAGACAGTGAGAGCGGGAACACAAGCAGGGGGAGTGGGAGAGGGAGAAGCAGGCTTCCCGCTGAGCGGGGAGCCCGACGCGGGCCTCGATCCCAGGACCCTGGGATCATGACCTGAGTCGAAGGCAGACACTTAACGACTAAGCCACCCAGGCGCCCCTAAATATGACATCTTAAGTCAAGCAGAGAAAGTCACTTATCATATGGTTTTACTTACTTGTGGAACATAAGGAATTGCGTGGACGACTTTAGGAGAAGGAAGGGAAAAATGAAGGGGGCGAGATCGGAGGGGGAGACTAACCATGAGAGACTATGGACTCTGAGAAGCAAACAGAGGGTGTTAGAGGGGAGGGATGTGGGGCGATGCGTTAGCCCGGTGATGGGTATTAAGGAGGGCACGTATTGCATGGAGCCCTGGGTGTTATACGCAAACAATGAATCATGGAACAACTACATGAAAAACTAACCGATGTACTGTATGGTGACCAGCATAGCACAATAAAGAAAAAATAAATAAAGAGATCTTTCATTCTTTGGGTTTTATTTTATCTATTTATTTGTTTAACTTTTTGAGAGCGAGAACACATGTGAACGGTGGTAGGGAGGGGAGGGGAGGGGAGAGAGAAAGATCCCAAGCAGGCTGCACGCCCAGTGCGGAGCCAGACGTGGGGCTCCATGTCAAGACTCTGAGATCACAACCTGAGCCTCAGCCAGGACTCGGTTGCCCAACAGACTGCGCCACCCAGGCGCCCAGATTCACTCTTGATGTGTCCTGCAGTCACTGTGCACCATGTTGGAGTTGTCATTATCTGTGCACGTGGACGTGCTCGGTCTTCCTCGTGGCGTGGCTGGACCGCTGCACCTGCAGCCCCTGGCTGCTTCGGTCCACGTACCATTTAAGGGCCATTTGAAGAAGGAGCGCAAATCCCGATTGCTATTCCAGAACCATCCGTTGAGACCTTCTGACGAGATCAAGAAAGACAGAGGAACACAGCCTACACCTGGAGGGTCGGGAGCTTGGAAAGCAATCTCAGAGCCGGTGATGGCGATCTCTTCAGAAACTCAGCCTCGCCAGTGCCCTTGGCGGCTCGAAGGTCAGTGTTGTGTGGCAACTCACAGATCTCCTGAAAGGGAAGACTTGACCAACTCATGTCACTCATCCTTTCCCTTTTGTTCTGTCCCAAAAGTCTAAAAGGGCTTTTTCATAAACATGAAATGAGAATTGTAAGCAATAAGAAAGACATGGACTAACTGGCAGTGTTTCTTTTTTCTTTTTTCAGTCTTACAATTGATGGTGTCTTAGAATGAAATATGGCCTATGGTTAGTTTAGAAAAATTATAAAACAGAGAGAAATGAAAACACATACAGCCCAGAAATCTCTGAGCTTTCACCTGTTTCTCTGCTGTTCTTCAACCTCCCTGTATACCTTCTGCTACTGGAACATTCCGAGGCGCTTCCTGCCCCCATGCTGTTGTCCTTCATCTGGCATAAGCTCTGACTTCTCTGTGTCTCTGTCGCTGTGTCTTCCCGGGTTCCCCACTGTATCCCCAGTGCCTGGCACTTAGCAGACACTCAACAAGTATTGCTTGACTGGATCAAGAGTGTTAAACTGAGGGCGAGCACAGAAGCTGCTCCTTGTCATCCAGGAGAGGGCAGTAGGAAGGACAGGGAGGAGCTCCTAGAGGAAGGCGGCTTGGTCAGCTTTTCAGCAGGTAGAGCTGCTCAGCGGGGGAGCGAGTGCCTCCGTGGTGGGGCGTGCTCAGGCAGTAGCTCGGTGTTGTTGAAGGGTGCTTGCCCTGCATGTCAGGGTCGACCAGGTCATTTGGAAGGCCCCTTCCAACCAGACATCCATGTTTGCGGACTCTTCTCCCGGGTCTGTGGTTCTTTCTCGACTGCAGATAGGGCTTTTACCACTGGATGGCACCAGATGAAGGCTGTGAGGACAGTGCTCATCCAACCACCCACAGTGAGAACACAGTTTTTTCTCTTTTCATTATGGAAGTTTCGTTGATCTGTACAATGTTATGTCAGTTTCAGGTGTGCAGCATCGTGATTCGACAAGTTTGTTCATTACTCAGCACTCACCACGATTAAGTATAGTCACCATCTGTCACGGTACAGTTGTTATGACAATATTCTTGGACTATATTCCGGATGTTGTACTTTTCATCTTTGTGAGTTATTTATATAAGTGGAAGCTTGTAACTCTGAATTCCTTTGACCAATTTCGCCCCCCCCCTTTCCGTCTGGCAACCATCAGTTTGCTCTCGGTGTTTAAGGGTCTATTTTTTTTGTTTGTGTAGAGAACAGATTTTTCATGGCACTTATACCCCAAACACACACTTCAACAACTTCACAGAAACAGTCTTTAACTCGTACAGTATGTAACGCATACTGATTTTTTCTAGTTTACTCTAGCTGACTGCATTTTCTAAGACGGGGATTTGCAAACTATTACACTGATTTTATGACACGGATGGGTCACAATCCACTGTTTGAAAAGCACTGTTTTAGACAACGCAGCCTGTTCAGCCTTGTAAAACTCTGTGGGTCAGTTTTCCTTGACAGTCTGGGCTGTAGCAAGTTGTGTCCCTTAGTGAGTACTTGGTGTGTTTCTGTGTTGAGCTGCTGCCTTGAGCAGCAGTAGGTATGTGCTTCCTTATGGGTGTCTGTGGATGTGGGAATATGGACGTGGGAGATGGCGGGGGGCGTGTTTGTACAGGATTAGCACCTACTGTAGTCCAGGCAGCGGTAAGCCTTGTCAGTGGATATGAAGAGAAGATATATTATCTGTCTGCTTCTGGGAGCTCAGAACCCAGCTGGGTGACATCACATACACATACACACACACACACGAGCGTGCACACCCCCCCCCACACACACCCCCTCCCCTCCCCCCCCACACCCCCTACCCCTTTCAGCTTACTCATCAAGCAAATGGAAATGAACTGATGCGCTCAGAATACCACTTAGGACATTTCAGGGTGTAACAGAAGACCAACTCCATTTGGTTTATTTATTACTTTTTTTAATGTAAATTCAATTAGCCAACTTACAGTACATCATTAGATTCAGATGTCGTGTTCAGTAGTTTGTCAGTTTCATATAACACCCAGTGCTCATCACATCACATGCCCTCCTTAGTGCCCATCACCGAATTACTCCATCCCCCCACCCACCACCCCTCCAGCAACCCTCCCGTTTGTTTGCTAGAGTTAAGAGTCTCTTACGGTTTTTCTCCATCGCTGATGACTTCCCATTCTGTTTTCCTTCCCTTCCCCTACAGTCCTCTGCCCTGTTTCTTATATTGCACATATGAGTGAAACCATTTGATATTTGACTTTCTCGGATTGACTTATTTCGCTCAGCATAATACCCTCCAGTTCCATCCGTGTGCATGTAAATGGTAAGTATTCATCTTGTCTGTTGGCTGGGTAATAGTCCATTGTGTGTATATGTGTGTATATATACACACATATATATATGTGTATATATATACACACACATACACACACACACATATATATATATACCACATCTTCTTTATCCATTCATCTGATAAGACATTTGCAAATATCTTCTCCCATTCCGTAGGTTGCCTTTTAGTTTTGCGGACCTTTTCCTTTGCTGTGCAGAAGCTTTTTCTCTTGATGAAGTTGCAATAGTTCATTTTTGCTTTTGCTCCCTCGCCTTTGTAGATGTATGTAGCAAGTAGTCGCTGCGGTTGAGGTCGAAGAACTTCCTGCCTGTGTTCTCCTCTAGGATTTTGATGGATTCCTGTCTCACAGTAAGGTCTTCCATCCATCTTGAGTTTATCTTTGTGTATGGTGCCAAAAAATGGTCCCGTTTTATTCTTCTACATGTGGCTGTCCAGTTTTCCCAGTACCATTTATTGAAGAGACTGTCCTTTTTCCACTGGATATTCTTTCCTGCTTTGTCGAAGATTAGTTGACCATAGAGTTGAGGGTCCATTTCTGGGTTCTGTCTTCTGTTCCGTTGATCCATGTGTCTGTTTTTGTGCCAGAACCATACTGTCTTGATGATTACAGCTTTGTACTCTAGCTTGAAGTCTGGCATTGTGATGCCACTAGCTTTGGTTTTCGTTATCAACATTCCTCTGGCCATTCGGGGTCTTCTCTGGTTCCATACACATTTTAGGATGATTTGTTACAGTCTGTGAAAAAAGTTGATGGTATTTTGATGGGGATCTCATCGAATGGTTCGATTACTCTGTGTAGACATTTTAACAGTGTTTTTCCAATCCATGAGCATGGAACGTTGTTTCATTTCTTTGTGTCTTCCTCAATTTCTTTGCTAAGTGTTGTGTAGTTTTTGGAGTACAGATCCTTTACGTCTTTGGTTAGGTTTATTCTTAGGTATCTTATGGGTTTCAGTGCATTTGTAAATGGGATCGATTCCTTCATTTCTCGTTCTTCTGTCTCATTGTTAGTGTATGGAAATGCAACTCATTTCTGTGCATTGATTTTATATCCTGCTGAATTCTTGTATGAGTTCTAGCAATTTTGGGGTGGTGTTTTGGGTTTTCCACATAAAGTATCATGTCATCTGCAAAGAGTGAGAGTTTGACTTCTTTGCTCAGTCGGATGCCTTTGATTTCTTTTTTGTTGTTTTCTGATTGCTGAGGCTAGGACTTCTCTAGTTGAAGAACTGCGGTGAGAGTGGGCCTCCCTGTCATGTTCCTGACCTTAGAGGAAAAGGTCTCCGTGTTTCCCCATTGAGAATGATATTCGCTGTGGGCTTTTCATAGATGGGTTTTATGTTATTGAGGTATATCCCCTCTACCCCTATACTGTGGAGAGTTTTAATCAAGAAAGGATGCTGCATTTTGTCCGGTGCTTTTTCTGCATCCGTTGAGAGGATCATACGGATCTTGACCTTTCTTTTATTAATGTGAAGTATCACATTGATTTGATTTGCGAATGTGGAACCACCCTTAGAGCCCAGGAATAAATCCCACTTCGTCACGGTGAATACTCCTTTTAATGTGCTGTTGGATCCTATGCGCTAGTATTGTGCTGAGAATTTTTGCATCCATGGGGTCTTTGTCTGTTTTTGGGATCAAGGTCATGCTGGCCTTAGAGAACAAGTTTGGAAGTTTTCCTTCCATTTCTGTTTTTTGAAACAGCCTCAGAAGAATAGGTATTAGTTTTTCTTTGAATGTTTGGTGGAATGCCCCTGGGAAGCCATGTGGCCCTGGACCCTTGTGTGTTGGTAGATTTTTTGATCACTGCTTCAGTTTCCTTGCTGGTTATGGGTCTGTTCAGGTTTTGTATTTCTTCCTGATTCAGTTTTGGTGGCTTACAAGTTTCCAGGAACGCATCCATTTCTTTCAGGTGACCTCATTTGTTGTCCTATAGTTGCTGTGTGTGTTCTTAAGATGGTTTGTGTTTCTTTGGTGTTGGTTGTGATCTCTCCTCTTTCATTCATGACATTATTATTTTGGGTCCTTTCCCCTTTCTTTTGGATAAGTGTGGCTTGAGGTTCATCAAGCTTATTAATAATTTCAAAGAACCGGCTCCTGGTTTCATTGATTGTTCTACTGTTCTTCTGGTTTCTATTTCATTGTTTTCTGCTCTAATCTCTATAATTTCTCTTCTCCTGCTTGGTTTCGGCTTTAGTTGCTGTTCATTCTCCGGCTCCTTTGGGCGTAAGGTTAGCTTGTGTATTGGAGACTTTCTGATTTTTTGAGGAAAGCTTGTATTGCTATGTACTTTCCTCTTAGGACCGCCTTTGCTGGATCCCAAAGGTTTTGAACGGCTGTGTTTTCAGTTTCATTCATTTCCATGAAATCTTTAATTCTTCTTTGATTTCCTGGTTGATGCATTCATTCTTTCGTAGGATGCTCTTTAGCCTCCGAGTGTTTGAGTTCCTTCCCTATTTCCTGTTGTGACTGAGTTCCTGTTTCAAAGCATAGTGGTCTGAAAAGAGGCAGGGAATAATCCCAATCTTTTGGTATCGGTTGAGACCTGATTTGTGCCCCGGTATGGGATCTCTTCTGGAGAATGTTCCATGTGCCCTGTAGAAGAATGTGTATTCTGTTGCTTTAGGATGGCATGCTGTGATGTACCTGTGAAGTCCATCTGGTCCAGTGTGTCATTCAGAGCCCTTGTTTCCTTGTTGATCATCTGCTTAGATGATCTGTGCATTGCTGGGAGTGGGGTGTTGAAGTCCCCTACAGTTATTGTATGATTCTCGTCGTGTTTCCTTCATTTGGTTCTTAATTGGTTTATGTAATTGGCTGCTCAAGTTAGGAGCATATATATTTATAATTGTTAGATCTTCTCGTTGGGTAGGCCCTTGAAGTATGATATAGCATCCTTCTTCATCCCCTAATACAGTCTTTGGTTTAAAATCTAATTTGTCTGATAGGAGGATTGCTACCCCAGCTTTCTTTTGAGGTCCATTCGCGTGATCAATGGATCTCTACCCCCTCACTTTCGATCTGGAGGTGTCTTTAGTTCTACAATGAGTCTCTTGTAGATAGCATATGGATGGGTCTTGCTTTTTTATGCAGTCGGATACCCTGTGTCTTTTTTTTTTTTTTAAATGATGACTTTTTTTTTGAAGATTTTATTTATTCATTTGAGACACAGAGATACAGGGAGAGAGAGAGAGAGCGAGAGAGAGCATGAGCAGGGAGAGAGGCAGAGGGAGAGGGGGAGAAGCAGGCTCCCCGCTGAGCCAGGAGCCCGATGCGGGGCTCGATCCCAGGACCCTGGGATCATGACCTGAGCCGAAGCCAGACGCTTAACCATCTGAGCCCCCCAGGCGCCCCTACCCTGTGTCTTTTGATTGGAGCATTTAGCCCATTTAGATTCCGAGTAACTATTGAGAGAGATGAGTTTAGTACCGTTGTATTACCTGTATAGTCCCTGTTTCTGTAGATCTTTTTCTTTCTGGTCCAGTGTTACTTTTGGGCTCTCTCTTGGCATAGAGGATCCCTTTTAGTATTTCTTTCTTTCTTTTTTTTTTTTTTAAGATTTTATTTATTTGACAGAGAGAGACACAGCGAGAGAGGGAACACAAGCAGGGGGAGTAGGAGAGGAAGAAGCAGGCTTCCCGCGGAGCAGGGAGCCCAGTGCGGGGCTCGATCCCAGGACCCTGGGATCATGACCTGATCTGAAGGCAGATGCTTAGCCGACTGAGCCACCCAAGCGTCCCCCCCTTTAGTATTTCTTGCAGGGCTCGTTTAGTGGTCCCATAGTCTTTCAGTTTCTATTTGTCCAGGAAGCCCTTTAGCTCTCCTTCCATTCTGAATGACAGCCTTGCTGGAGAAAGTATTCTTGGCTGTATGTTTTTCTCATTTAGTACCCTGAATAGATGATGTCAGCCCTTTCTGGCCTCCCAGATCTCTGTGGATAGGTCTGCTGCCAGCCTAATGTTCCTACCCGTCTAGGTCAGGAACCTCTTGTCTTGAGATGCTTTCCGGATTTTCTCTTTATTTCTGAAATTTGCAAGCTTCGCTACTGTATGTCAGGGTGCTGATATATTTTTATTGATTTGGAAACGGGTTCTCTCTACCTCTTGAACTTGTATGCCTGTATCCTTCCCCAGATTAGGAAAGTTCTCAGCTATGATTTGTTCATATATACCTTCTGTCCCTCTTTCTCTCTCTCTCTTTCTCCTCAGGGCCTGCAGTAACTCCTCAGCGGGGAGTCTGCTTGCTTCAGGATTTTTCTTTCCCTCTGCCCCTTCCCCCGCTCACTCTCTAAAATAAATAAATCTTTCAAAACAAAAGGAAGAGATCGAAGGAGGGAGGCAAGATGGTGGCACGGTAGGGGAGCTCGTTTCATCTGGTCCCTTGAATGTAGCTAGATAACTATCAAATCATCCTGGACACCTCTGAATTCAACCTGAGATGTAAGGAAGGAATTGCTGGAATTCTACTAATAGACAAGTGACCACTTTTTGCAAAGTAAGAGGTGCGGAGAAGTGAATCTGCGGGGATATATGGGAAGATCCTCTGCGGGGAGAGGGAGCCTGTGTAAGCCGGCCACAGGCAAGTGATACAGCCCCAGAGCGCAAAATCAGAACCTTTAGAAATCTTCTCCGCTAAGAGCCCTGCCTGAAAGGTGCTCTGGTGGCAAGGTGGGGCAGCATCCAAGGTGGGACAGTGTGACCTCAGGATCCCTGGGGTCACAGGAAGAACAGGGGTGCTTGAGCCGGCAGAGTTCCCAGGCACTGGAGTGGGGAAACTGGTTAGGGTCAGGGAGCAGGGGGGGTTCTCAACTCAGTTTGCCATAAACCATGAACCACGGCTCATCTGGGTGACAGCTATTGTATGCGGGTCCTGCACAGGGCAGACAAGGCGGCGCCCCTCTGCCTTCTCCCAGGAGGATCGGTGCAGGCCCTCACCACAGGAGCCTGCAGACTTTGGCACACACAAAACTGAAGACCGCTTATCCCTGACAGTTTACTGAAGAGAGGGGACCTCGATCTTTTCGCTCCGGGCCTGGAAATCGGGGCGTGGCCATTTTTCTTTTCATCCTCTCAAGTGGCCCAGAGAGCCTTCGGGGAATAGAATCACATAGAGCAACTACAAGCAGTTTACACTGAGCCCGCCCCCCCCCCCCCCCCCCCGCAAGGGGCGGTACAACTCCCCCCAGGCCAAGACACCTGAGGGTCAGCACAGCAGGCCACTCCCCGAGCAAAGCAGCTGGAAGAACAGGGGAAGAAGTTTAGGAGCCCACAGGAGTGCAAAACTCCAGCACTAGGGGAAAACAGTAAATTGAATTCAAAGGTTATTTCATGATTCGTTTATCTTGCAGTTTAAAATTTTCCTTTTCTTTTTTTCTTCCCAACTAGTTTCTTATTTTATCAACTCTTTCATTTTAAGTCGTTTTTGATTGTCATTTTCTACATTTCCATTTTTTAGAGATAGTCTTCAGTTTTGCTTCCTTCTGCTACATTCAATTTTATGTCTGTATATATGTAACCTTGGTGATTTTACACTTCTGGGATTTAGTGTCTTTTAACAAACAGGCCAAAATACACCCAGGATTTCATGGAGGTTTGACCACCTGGGAGATAATATTCTCTCTTCTCCCACCCCCCAGCCACCCCCCACATTTCTTTTTTCTTCTCTTTTTTGGTTTCTGACCTCTTCGGATTTGACTAGTGTGTATTTGCTTGCGTCGTGGTTGATATTTTTTATGTTGCTCTCTTGTTCCTCCATTCTTCTCTGGGCAAAAGGAATAGAAGGAGGAATTCACAACAAAAGAAAGAACCGGAGGATGTACTCTCTGCCATAGATCTAATTGATATGGACACAATTGAGCTGAGCCTAAACCAAGAGTTGGCCGTTCAACTGACTGAGCCACCCAGCTGCCCCTCCATTTGGTTGAAATGGTAAAGACATTTATTAATTCACATGAGGGGCATTTATTAATTCACATTATCCGATGAGGGGCAGAGCAGGCTATAGGCCCACAGGGGCTTCGCATGGTTTTAGGGATGCAGTGTCCTTCCAGTACTTCTCCTTGTCCTAAGGCTGGTTCCCTCAACGGTTGTCAGAAGCCCTTCAGTGGTAATCTGGGCTTCAGCTCCCTGGTTTAGAACACTGAAAGTTTGGTTCCTTGTAGTGTAGACCGGGGAGAGTTTAGGCTACCATAGCATTTTCCAGGTTATAGTGTAGACCAGAAAGTGAAGGCTACTATAACATTTTCTAGGTTGTGGCTGTTGTGTTTCTTTGTTCCTGGTTTTCCCACTAGGACTTGCTTAAAGGGTGTGGAAGGACCGGTTCCTAATCCAGAGCCGGGGGAAATACTTAGGTAGTCGTTCGTGAGTTTTCCGGAACGATCCTGGATCTCCTTTCCTATGGACACAGAACTTCCGGTCGAGCAGAGTTCTCTGACTGGCTCTCACCCGTGGGTTTGCTGAGGGAATAAGTGGTGGCAGGTTTTCTAGGTGAGGGATGAGGTGAGGTTCTGTGCTGTCTAGGGTCTTGGGGAAGGAGGTAGGCGCACGAGTAAAGAAAGGGAAGAAATGGCTGCCGTGGGGACGGTGACGGGCCATGTGTGCGAGCACCAAGACGGATGGCTGAGTCTGCCGACATTTGTAATGGAGTACCAGACGTGCCTCTGTTGGCCTTTTGAGGTAGATGAGCTTTTAGGGATTCACTCTTCAAAAGAGGGAGTTCCAGTGTTCATTCTCTCCAGTGGCGAATGGAAGTGCTCATTTCCCAACATCCTCACCAGCACGGTGTATTAGAAACCTTTTCATCGTGGTTAATCTGATATGTGAAAGATGGTGTCTTCAGTAATGTTACTGTATAATTTTTTTTACCGATTTTCTTTCTTTATTTGACAGAGAGAGACACAGTGAGAGATGGAACACAAGCAGGCTTCCCGAGGAGCAGGGAGCCCGAAGCGGGGCTCGAACCCAGGACCCTGGGATCATGACCTGAGCCAAAGGCAGAGGCTTAACGACTGAGCCACCCGGGTGCCCCCGTCATTTTATTTTATATTCCTCTTATTTTGGGGGGTGAAGTTGAAGATCGTTTTTATATGTTTAAGAGCCATTTATATTATCTTTTACAGTGAACTGTCTGGTCAAGTAAGGAATTCCTTTCTTGACCTTAGTAAAATGATAGTAACACTGTTAGGCTCTGAAGTCCTTTCTATCAAGGCAGTGAAGGGATTTGAGATGGGAGGGTGACTTAGTCAGATTGAGAAAGTGACCAAATGACCACAGTCCTTGGGCATGCAGGGAATCCTCACCCTAAAGATGGAGCCTATGGGTAGATTCTGTAAGAAATGGAAAGAAAGTGCAAAGTGGTGGTTCCTGAGAATAAGGACATGGACCTTACTTGGAGCTGAGGGTGAACCCAGGCATCAGGGAGATGGGGCCAGGCCTGGCTAAGAGGCCTGAAATCCTCTCTCCCAGGCTCCTGAGGCAGCTTTCCTAACCAGGGCTACAGAGGTGGGAACCCAAGTTGGGGCCCTGGGAGCTAGACGCCCCAGGCAGGGTGTCAGCCGGCCTTCCTTCCTTCTTCCTCTGCATGGGCTGGCATCTCCAGACCGGACCCCCTAGGAGAGGGCTTCCCAGGCAACATGTGGTGAGCATCTTTAAAGTTTTGTTCCAATAATCTCTCTGTTGTGGACGATATTCTATAACATACATGAAAAATGATTTCCTAGAAAGATAAAATGCAAGAGACACATCAAATAGAAGCTCAAGTTATTTATGAGGAGAATCAATAGACGTAGAATTCCTATGTCACATTGCAGTAAGTTTCTAAATGCTACTGAAATTTTGTTCTTAAAGTAGTTATACTTTAAACAACAGGGCTTTAGAACAGATATTATCTTCCATTTCCCCCACTTAGAACAGATACTGTTTTCCATTTTCCCCCCTTTTATTCCTCATCGCCTTCACTCCAGCTCCCCAACCCACAGCTGAACCAGTCCATTTATTCGGCAACGTTTGCTCATGCCTTCCCCTCCCGCAGACGGTCTATGAGGCCACTTTATAAACAGGGGCTCTTACCCACACAGGATGGAGAGGAAGGGAACGTGGTGGAAATACGGCTTTTCTTTTCTTTTTTTTTTTTTTTTTTTGCTTTGACATTTATCTGCCCCATTTCCTGACCCCAGAATCTTATTTTCGTCATGATCTCGCATTGTTGAGTTTTCACAGAGTCTTGAGAGGCTTACACCTAACCAAGAGAAAGTACATTTCCAAGAGGAACATTTAGATCTGATTTTTCATGTAAAACCCTTGTCTTTCTTATGTAAAATTATGGGACTTTTTTTTTTTTTAAGATGGTTAATTCCACCATCAAGTAGATTGTACTTACTTGAGTTCAAACAGCTTTTTAAAAAAAAAAAAACTGGGTGTTACACGCAAATCATGAATCATGGAACGCTGTATCAAAAACTACTGAAGCACTATATGATTAACATAACCGAAAACAAAAAACAAGAGAATGTGAAAGTCACTCTTTCTCCCATGAAGTCCACAGATAAACCGCTGACCCCAAAGAAGAGCAGAAGAGTCCTCATTGGCTCTTCTCCTGGGCTGGGCTCTGCAGGGATGATTTCCAACCTGACTGAGCGATAGCTTGTCTCTGTCTCTCGGGATATTTTGCTCGAGTCCATGGCATCAGCCAGCTGCTGAAGGCATTTCTACGGAAGACAGAATGTCATTATCAAATTCTAAATCTTGGGGCTGGGGTAGATACCACCTTCTGGAGATTAAAGGTAAATGAAAATTCCCCTTCTTCTTTCCCGAATTGTTTCATTCGTGAAGGTGCCCGCCTGGTTCAAAAATGTTAAAAATATATTCAGAAGGAATGCAGTGACTGCCTGTCTCGCGCCCCTGTCCCCAGCTGCTTGCACCTGCTGCCACCCTCAGCCACATACGTGATGTCCCCAGGGCCTCGCTGAAGGATAGGTGCCTGGCTTCCCATCCTTTGCTGTTGCAACAGGGGTTATGATAAAAAAAAGTCCTTGTAGACATGTCCTCAGCACGTGTGGAAGAGCCCTGCCAGTGGAATTGTGAGACCCAGAGCCCCTGCATCTGCCATATTGACGATAAGGAAGAGGTTTCCTTTTTTATTATGTTATGTTACTCACCATTCATTACACCATTAGTTTTTGATGTAGCGTTCCGTGATTCATTGTTTGTGCATCACACCCAGTGCTCCGTGCAGAACGTGCCTTCCCCAATATCCATCACCAGGCTACACCATCCTCTCACCTCGCTCTCCTCTAGAACCCTCAGTTTGTTTTTCAGAGTCCATAGTCTCTCATGGTTCATCTCCCCCTCCCATTTCCCCACCTTCATTCTTCCCCTCCTGCTATCTTCTTTTTTTTTTTAACATATAATGTATTATTTCTTTCAGACGTACAGATCTGTGATGCAACAGTCTTACACAATTCACAGCGCTCACCATAGCACATACCCTCCCCAATGCCTTATCACCCAGCCACCCCATCCCTCCCACCCCCCACCACTCCAGCAACCCTGAGTTTGTTTCCTGAGATTAAGAATTCTTCGTATCAGTGAGGTCATACGATACATGTCTTTCTCTGATTGACTGATTTCGCTCAGCATAACACCCTCCAGTTCCATCCATGTCTGATAACGATGATTTTATGGTCGTCATGACAGTGTCCTCGGTACGGTTTGAGGATGTGCAAGGCTGGGTGATGGTGATATGAAACAAAGGCCTTTTGTAGCTGTTCCCTGATTTGGTCCCTCACCTGCTCTGTTAGGGGGCAAGAACAGGTGTATGTAACTACGCTCATTGACGGGAAAGGCGACGGGTCTGGTTAGTGGCAGAACCAGGACAATAGGACTGCAGCTCCTGCAAGTCCGGGTTCCTTCCCTGTTCTCTACACAGGGCCTTGTGCTTGTTCAGGGGAATCTTTGCGGTCTGTCGATTCACGGTGTGTGTGTACCTCAGGCCCCACGTCTGTGTCCCGTGTCATAAGTCATAAAGGCACAGCCACGGCGCTTACTAGGGCAGGTCCTGCTGGGAGAGTCTCCCGTGTATGTATTTCCTCAGGAATCCTCACAACCCCGTGAGGTGCTATCACTTTCTCTACTGTGCAGACGAGGAACGCTTGGCCCGGGGAGGTGAGTGACTTCCAGCGCCTCACAGCAGACACGTGGTGGAGCTGGGATCGGAAGCCCATTCCCCGGCTCCAGAGTGCCGGCCCTTTCCCCCCACCGTGCTCTCCTCTCACAGAAAAAGTAGTAGTACCACAAGTTGGTGCTCGCCCTCACAGTGTGGGGTGCTTTGTGATATTTGCTCTTGTATCCTATTTGATCCCCTAAATGCTGGTTCCCCCCCCGCCCCCCCCCACAGTGGTTTCCTGACCCTCCCTAATCTGTCTCAGTCTGGGTTTTGGAAAAGTCTGTTAGGTTCTACTTCCCCAGCACCTCTCAGTGCGTCCCCACCTCTCAGTGTCCATCCCCGTGGCGGCTGCCCCAGTTCAGGCTCCCCATGACTTCTTCCCTGGACCTTCTTCCTGGATGGCTGTGAGATCCTCCTAACTTTTGTCCTCCGTCCGTTCTCCATGCGGAGACCAAAGTCACCTAAAAAATACATTTCTGACCATAGTGTTCGTAATTTAAGGCGCTAAGTCCACCTTTGCTGTTTGAGGCCTAGTGTTCAGTCCATGAAGATGGTCGGTCAATGTATGAGGGAATGCAGAATTAGAAAACGTACTGTGTATTTGTCCTCAGGATGAAGATCTTCTCCCAGGTAAGTATTCTGAGGTCGACTTTCCAATGATAGTCACGAGAAAGCCGCACAGCACCACCGAACCTCACTGTGGGGTTGCTCACAAGGTCCTCGATCTTGGGACGAGCACGTGGCCCTGCAATGCTCTATGAATGGAGAACACACAGGATGGACGTGCCATGCACACACGTGCTTTGGTCAGACTGAACTCCCCTTTTGACCCCACTATTGGGGAAAAAAAGAAGCAAAAGCTGTGGAAAACTCACACTTTCATATGTCTGCCAGCCTAAAGAGTAGGTCCAGTACAGCCACCTGCCCCAAAGACGTTGAAAGATGTGCCCCAGATAACGGGGCACATGACAGTCACCTGCAGGAGCTCTCAGAACCACCCGTCGTTCCTGTTGCAGCAGCCTGATGGTCTACCAATTCCGGTCTGTTCTGTCATTTCATAATCGATCATGTTTCCTGTCAAGCATTAAAGCAGCCCCAAAGAAACCTGGAGAAGAATCGGCTCCCAAATCCAAAGGGAGAAACGCTTTTTCAAAAGCTATTCAAAATTAAACTAAAAGTCGTCCCAAGGCGTTTCCACAATTCTTTCCTCGCAGTTCCCAATTTCTCAATGTCAAGGTCTTGGGCAGTCCGGTCCACAGGGGCCCGGCTTTGGAGACAGCGGCACCTCTACAGTGCCTGGATGGACGCCCGAACCTCGTAGGCGGATCCGATGGGCTCTGATGGCCCCTTACTTATTTAGTGCCATGAGGCACTGGGAGGTGGAGGGTCTACAGCGGCGGGGCGACCCGGAAAGCCTGAGGCCATCGCCCGCAGAGCACAGCGTCCGCTCGGCCTGGGGCTCACTGGTTCCCGGAGTTTTCAGCCAGGGCAAAGCCCGGGGGAGGGCAGGGGAAGGCTCGGGTCCAGTGCGCCCAGGGCGATGCTGGGTGGGGCCTGGACAGAGGGCGACGGGGACAGCCGACCCACCCAGCTGCTCCCCAGGGGCTCGGGCAGCGGCACCGAGCCGGGCTCCAGGTCTTGGCGTGGCGCAGCCCCAGGCCCAGACCCCGAGGCCTGATGTGGGGCGGCGGCAAGGGACAGAGCGCGCGACCAGGAGAGCAGCCGGCCCTCCCGCGCCCGAGCCTGGTCTGGGCTCCTGCCGATCCGGATCGACGCGCTCGCCTGCCCACGGTCTGGTTGGTCAGCTGCTTCATGCAGCTGGATTGCTTCTTGCTGGCGGCGGCGGCGGGGGCCGGCACGGCCAGGGCCGGGCAGCTCGAGGAATCGCCCGGGGGGAGGGGGGCCGACGTCGCTTCATGTCCACCCGAGGCGGCAGTGGAAGCGGCTGTGGGCCCGGCGCCCCCCCCTCGCCGCCTCTCATCCAGTGGCGCGGCAGGTCGGGGCCTTGGGAGGCCAGACCCGGGACGCGGTACCCAGCCCGTCCTCCACCCAGGGCGGGAACCCCGGGGCCGCCCTGTGCAGGGCCCGGAGGCCCCCTCTCGGGCACCGCCACCGCCGCCCGCGACCCCCTGCCGGGTCCAGCCGCACACCTCCGCGAGGCAGCGGATGCGCGCAGCGCACGGAGCCACCGGTGAACCGCCAAACCCCGGTGTGGGACGCACTGTCCCCGCAGAGCTGGCAGGGCACGGAAGGACGGAACACTCTGGAGCCTCTGGAGGCTGGAAATGCCCAAAGTCTCCTTGAGGGCCGTGCCTCTGCGCAGGTGTAGATATTTGTCAAATGCACCTAGGATCTGCTCTCCTAGGTGAATGGATGCATTGCATGCATTGCATGCATTTCCTGGGGGAAAGTCCAGGGCCAGATGCATTTTCTGTGGGCGGGCACCTGGGGGCAGTCAGGCAGGAGCACTCGCTAGGGGCCCACCCAGGACAGCCAGGAAGCGGGGAACAGGGGAAGGGGCCCAGCCCTGCGTGGGAAGTCGTGGGGCTGAGCGTCTGGGACCGGGACCGGTGGCCAGAGTCGGCCCTGGGAAGGCCCAAGGTCTCGGGCTTTCCTAGCAACGTGGCCTGCGCAGGGGAGGCGCGTGCCGGGCCCGCGCAGGCGTTGCCTAGAAACGCCTGTTGTCTTCTGATTCTTAGCCTGGCGCAAGCAGGCGTTCTGGGACACTTGGCGGGGTAGTCCGACTGCGCTGGACGCTTTTCCACAGCGGACCGCGACAGTTATATGACCCGCGAAGATGTGCTCCTGGGTTGGTGGCCTGGGCTCTGGCCTAGGCCATTCCCAGGGAGGAGTGGATGGCAGTGAGACTTCCTTGACCGGCTCCAACTCGGATCTCACCATGGACTTTGGTGATGTCATATCATCTCAGACAGAAATCAATAGACTCCTCAATGAGATCCAAAGACTGGAGGCTGATCTTACACTTTGGAAACATTTGTCCAAGGGACCGAATAGCTCAGACTCCAATGCCATCTGGAAACTGAAGAGCACCATCAGGGACCTAGAAGAGAGGCGGATGAGGGAGATCGAGGAACATCAACTCGGAGTTGCGATACTGCACAGTGTCCATCAAGAAAAACTGGCCGACATCACTGACAGGCACCGCAAACAACTCCTCGAGTATGAAAGACGGATAGAAGACCTGCAACATCAAGAGTCTGCCAGTCATGGGAAAGATGACTTACTTCAAGAAAGGGAAACTGAGCTTAGAAGGTTGAAGCAACAACTTGCAGAAATGGAGCGGCTGAATGACCGTTTAAACAACGTTGCTTCTGATCTCAGAGCAGAAAACCAAAAGTTGGTTTTGGCGCTCCAGGATGTAAGACATCAGCTGGAAGAATCTATTCTCCGGAACAACGAGGATTCTCTGGAAAACAACACTGCTGTGAGGGCTTTAAAAATAGAAAAAGGACGGTTAATAGCAAAATTGGCTCGGGCGGAAAAGAAGCTGTTGGAGGAAACAAACAAGGATGAGCAAACTATCAAAGAATTGTCCCCTTTAGAGCATGTGCATTGCATTCAACACAGTCAAGAGAAAGACCTGGAAATAGTACACCTCAAAAAGAGGATCGAGCAGATGGACGCCGACCATACAGAAACGAAGGAAATGCTGTCCTCTGCTCTGGAGGAGCAGAAGCGATTGACACAACTCGTTAAAGAGAAAGAGATGTATATTGAAGAACTTACAGGAAGTCCAGAGCTTCAGGAGGAATTCGGTCAGTCTACCCAAACCTTCAGAAGTAATGACATTTCCCAGCCATCCGTGGAGGACAAAGACAGGTGTCTCCCATCCGTGACAGGCGAAAATCCTCATCTGAGAGAAGAACTGGAGAGCCTAGGACAACAGAGTCGCTCTGTTCCTGCGCTCGACCCTAAAATCCTAGACGAGATCGTAGAACTGGAGTGTGAGGTGTTTCACCTCCAGGAGTTAAAGGATGATCTCGAGGAGGAAATCAGAGAGCAGCAGAAGATCATTCACAACCAGCAGCAGGGGAAGATAGGACTGCTTCATTCTTTACAAGAGCAGAAGCAGAAAGTGGAGCAGCTCCAATACCAGCAGGAGCAGATGAATATTGAACACGCTCAGCTCCTTTCAGCGAAAGACGAGGAGATTCAGCATTTGCAGGACACGATAGACCAAATGAAAGCCCGGTTGCCTGACAAAAGCCAGCACATTCCGACAGAAGACTGTGATGATGTGGAAGTCCCAACCAGTCAGCCTCTTCCCAGACAAAACGCAAGTGAAAAGCTTGATTCACGTGAAGCCGAAACTCAAAGATCAGTCCTAGGAATCAAAGAACACGAACTGGAGATGAAGCTTCTAACTGAACAGAACATCCGACTGACGGAACAGATGGATCGGCTCTCCAAAGAGGAGATTGGTAAACTAACTCAGATTATCCAGCAGAAAGACTTGGAGATTCAGGGTCTTTCCAGCAGGATCTCTGCGGCTTCTCACAGCCAGAACCGGGACGTGGAGCGACTTCAGCGGCAATTGCAAGAGTACGCTTGGAAAAGCGAACAGGTCTTGGCGGTCTTAAATGAGAAAACGAGGGAGAACAGCAATCTGAGGACAGAGTATGACAAAATGGCGGATAGGATGGCTGCCACAGAAGCAGACCTCCGGCGGATGCAAGAGGAAAATCAAAAACTGTCCACTAGAATGGACAGTAGTGGTCAGGAGATGTTTAGAGAAACGATTCAGAATTTATCACACATCGTTCGAGAAAAAGACCTCGAAGTGGATGCGTTAAGTCAGAAATGTCAGACTTTATTGACACTCCTGCAACCCTCCAGCCCTGGTAATGAGGTTCGAGGCGTTCATATGGATCAGTTCAAGCAGCTTCTACAGGAACGGGACACATTAAAACAGCGAGTGAAGATCATGGAAGAGTGGAAACAGCAGGTGATGACCACAGTCCAAAATATGAAGCGTGAGTCACCCCAGCTTGAGAGAGAGCTGGCACAACTCCAGGCGCGGGCTTTCACCAGCAGCGAGAAGGATTCTGAACTACCGACGACCTCTAGTGACCTGATGCAGACGTACAAAGGCAATGAAATAAAATTACAACATTTAGAGAAGGAACTGGCACAAATTCAGCTCAGCATCGGGGAGCTTTGCAATGCCAAGGATCTCCTTCTAGGGAAACTGGACGTGATTTTCCTCGAGCCCTCCCCCGACTGCTCAGAGTCAGCGGACTCTCTGGAGCCCGTGAAATCTGACAGAGTGGGTGAGGCTTCTGAGTTGCTCCAAGTGGAGGTAGAAGAGCTGAGAAAATCAATGCAAGAAAAAGATAGGATGATTCGAACCCTCCAGGAAGATAAGCAGAGATGGACTGATTCAGTGGCTGCCACGTGGGAAGGAGAAGGCCCAGAACAGGAACACAGGGATTCCGACATCGAGCAGCTGAAGGAGAAACAGGCCGTTCTACAAAACTTCATTCGGGATCAGGAGCTCCGAATCCAAGCGAAAAGTGAGGACTTGCTTTCTTTGCAGGAGAACTTCCGTAGCCAAGTGAGTGAAAATGAACTTTTGAGGCAGACGGTCACCAATCTGAAGGAGAGAATAGCAGAGTTGGAAATGGATGTGTGTCAACCGAGAGAGGAAAATGCAAAAGTCGAGGAAAACTCTCGAGAAAAGGCAGTGGGAGATGAGGCATTGCAAGAGACAGATAGGCTGCTTTCAGTGATGCGGAGAGAGGAGGAATCCCAGGGTGCTGCGATGAAAGAGAAGGCACTTGCTTTGGAGCAACTATCGCAAGAGAGAGAAGAGCACGAGACCAGGGTATTGAACCGGCCGGTCAGTGCAGTTCCATCAATGCAGGGAAAGACAGTTCTGTGCCAACAGGGGAGAGATGAAGTCCTGTTGGCCCTGACACAGAAACAAATGGAAACCTGTGCCCTCCAGAAGGAGGTTCGCCATTTACGTGAGAGCGAATTACGCCTAACCCAGGAGCTGGAGAGACGGCGACACCTCGCTCTAGAAGCCGAAGACGCTCATCGCCGGGAAGCTCTGGCCTCAGAAGACAAAGTGGCTCAACTCAGGAAGGAAGTGACGGTCTTGCAGGGAAGACTCGTTTTGTCTTCCACTGCCATGGAAAATGCCAGCCGAGGAGCCAGTCTGCAGGTAGAGTCGCTGCAGGAGCAACTGCACGTGGTGACCCAGCAGAAAGAGGACACTGCGCTCCAGCTTGCTGCCTCGCAGGAAGAAGGAAGGCAGTATGGTCACATCCTAGCTGACCTCAAGTTGGAACTCGCCGAATGGATGGAAAAGGCAGACAGCCTCGAAGGAAAACTGAAGTCATTGCAGGGACGATTACATAAAACAAATGCTGACTTGGAGCTGAAGGAAGACCAACTCCAAGAATTCCAGAAACAGAATGAGGTCCAGCAGGAAATCCTGGAGGACACACAGAAGAAACTGATGAACTTAGTCAGTAAGTCCGAAGGAATGGTGGACAAAACCCTACTAAGGAGACTCTTCCTGGGATCTTTCCAAGCCCCTGACGCTGAACGGCAGGAAGCCTTAAGGTTGATGGGAAGCATGCTGGGGATCCGAGAAGACCAGATGCGGCAGCTGTTCAGTGAAGGGCCAGGTGGTGGTACCAGCTGGATGAGTCGGGGGCCTGGATCCAAAAGCGCCCCCAACACACATGTGAAGCCAAATCACCGACCTATGGCCAAGAATTCTTTTTCAGGGCTTTTCGTCCAGTTTCTAGAAGCGGAATCTCATTCAGCTTTGCCACCACCAAAGCCCTCTGCTCATGACGTGAAGCCCCCAGATCCCGGAGGAAGGGGAAAACTGGCTATGAAACAAGGCCCAGCACGTCTGAACACTACCCTAGCATCCACATCCCGGAAAAAAGATGTGAAGCCCCGCACCACAACGGTGTCTCTTATTACCCCACCTGGACCGGAAGCGGATGGATCGGAGCACCTTCTTCTAAATGCCGTCACTGATGCTTTGCCCACGTACGCACCCCAAATACTGTCACCTGCGGAGAAGGTTGGAATGGCGGCCAAAGGCCTCTCAAAGAAATAGAGGATTCTCAAGCCAGAGATGAGACAGTGCTCGGAAGACCCCAAGTCACTCTGTGTGTTTACCTAATCCCAAAATGTCCTTTTGCAAAACGTAATATATTTGCAGTCTTGCTTTCAGCTTAATAAAAATATTCTTTTATGAGTTAACAAAAAAAGGCATCTTTTAATGACTGCAGAGGTATTCACCAAACTGAAAATGGTGGGTATTTCTTATGAGAGTAGACACTGGTGGGGTTGGGGGCTGCGGTCAATGGTACTTCCAGTATTGTTTGTAATGCTTTGATGTTTTCATAAGGAGCATGTATATACATATACCTTTGGTAAGGAAAACATCCACTCGTTTTAATGTTCCCAACTTATCAAATACATGAGCACCCACGCCTTGTTGGAGAAACTGGGTGTATAGCATGAAAGTTTAAGATGAATACATTTTTTTAAAAAATGCGAGTTTGATTTTCCCAGTTATGTCCCATTTCTCTTTCTCCTTTTTTATTTTTAATTGTTTTTTCCATTTCATTTTATGTTGCCTGGGAATCTACTTCATGGGTAACCTGATTTATCTCAGGCCTTTAGAAATATATGTATATTTGTCTTTTTGGGCGTATAGTATTCTATGACTTGCTTTTAAAAAAAAAAAATCACTCTGCCTTCGAGATCTTTACAAATGTGAATGAATTCCAATTCATTCTTTAAAAGGAAATGCAGGCCTTTGTGGATATACCCTAAATTACCGAACTAGCTCCTACTGATCAGTATTTAATCAGTTTTTACTTCAAATGTCCATGGTCAACTCCCTTGTTCCTTTCCTCAGAAGCCACTCCAAATCTTCGTTTGCAGTGCCAGGCTCATTACTCCACTATACTCTGGAAACCATCCACTCAAACTTCTTTTCTTCTCCTTCTCCTTCTCCTTCTCCTTCTCCTCCTTCTCCTTCTCCTTCTCCTTCTCCTTCTCCTTCTCCTTCTTCTCCTTCTCCTTCTCCTTCTCCTTCCTTCTCCCTCTTCTTCTTCTTCTTCTTCTTCTTCTTCTTCTTCTTCTTCTTCTTCTTCTTCTTCTTCTTCTTCTTCTTCTTCTTCTTTTTAACGATTTTATTTATTTATTTGACAGAGCAGGAGAGCACAGGCAGGGCGGGTGGCAGAGGGCGAAGGAGAAGCAGGCCCCTTGCTGAGCAGGGAGCCTGATGTGGTGCTTGATTCCCGGGTCACTGAGATCATGACCTGAACCAAAGGCAGACGCTAAACTGACTGAGCCACCCAGGCGCCTCCCATTCAGACTTCTTGAAAGATCTCATTCCATTAATTTTCCATTGTGCTGTATCTTCAGCCTGCCAAATATCTTAAATCCTTCCCTCCCTTTCTGTTGCCAGTGCTCTGGTTCACCCATTCCTGTCTCTTGCACAGACTAGTGCAGTAGACTGCCTACTGATCTTGCTGGTTCCACACTCGGCCTCCTTTGAATCCATTCTCCATGCTGCTGTCAGGGCGAACTGAGACGAAAATCTGATGTCACTTCCCTGCTGCCATTATTTGTGGGTTCCCTCATTGCTTGGAGTTCGACCTTTAGGAGACCATCCAAGCCCTTGCTTTTGCAGCCTTCCCTCCTGCGCATCATTCACATACAGGCTGCCCTTTAGCCGCAGGGAATTCTTACAAGCCCCCAATAGATTCTTATCCAAAGAACTTCAAGTGCATGAGCCTCATCGTTGTGCCTTGCCAAAGGTACAAAGCAGAAGGATTTCATTTTTCTCCTCTTCACCCGTTGGTAAAGGGAGTGATTCCCACCCTAAAGTTATGGGATGTCCGGATGCTGAACAGATGAGCTCGACACTAATTTATTACCCATGTCTACTCGTGGCCCACACCATGCAGGGCCACAAGGGGGTTTTACCTGGGAGCAGAATGAAGAAGGGCTTTGGGGCGGGGGCAGACCTTGTAGTAACAAGAGAGTGACGGTGAGCCCTACTTCCTGCAGGAGGGCATGACTGGCTTGCTGGATAATTGCACACGCTGTCAGGGAAATGGACCTTACTCCTTGGGGAGAAACTGTGCCTGGTCCCTGGGATAAAGAAGGTCGTTTGGCCAGGAGACCTGATCTGTGGGAGCAGAGGGGGAAGGGAACTTTGGGTGAGACCGAGGCCATTGGAGGCCCTCTGATGTTCCCTGATACTAAGACAACACTTCCTATTGAATCTTAATCTCAGGCTTTCCATCACAGTGGACTCTGATATCTAGACATCAATTTCAACCTGGGACTGAGACTTTTAAGGAGTAGGACAGGTGCTTCTCTAGGAAGTGAAATTGTCACGTGAACAAGAGGGGGAGTTGGTCTTCAAAACCAAAATGTATCAACGGTCATTGATGGTCACTCAGTTGATCCCAAGGGAATCCTTAGGTAGCCAAGGGGTAGAAGGAAAGGCTGACGTCCTCCAGCACCATGGAATCTGGCAATGGACTGTGGATAGAAGCAGCCACCCCCACCTGCAGGTTGGATATGCAGACTTTGGCTTCAGCCTGTAGCAAGAAGGCCTTGGTAACTACATTAAGCTGGTGGGGGTATCATGACCCGAGGCAGAGCAGACAGCGGGATATGAAGGCTCAGAGTCTGTAAGAGACTCCGTTTCCAGGAGAGCCCAGTGCATGGTCAGCAATTGCTGCTTTCATGGTCTATAACCCAGGGCCAAGGAGGGCCATTTCTTGCATTGGGAGTCCATGGACGATTCCAGTGACTCCAGGAAGCTGGAGAGGTAGTTGCTAAAGCCTTTTTACTTAGGGCACTAACGGGTGATTTTTTTTTTTTTTTTAAGATTTTATTTATGTATTTGAGAGACAGTTGGAGCTGGAGGAGGAGGTCAAAGGGAGTGGGAGAAGAAGCAGGCTCCCCACTGAACAGGGAGTTCCCTGCCAGGCTGGATCTCAGGACCCTGAGATCATGACTTGAGCCAAAGGCCGACGCTTCACCAACTGAGCCAGCCAGTCGCCCCCTCACAGTTGTTTTGGACAGATCCTAGAGCCTTTTGTTGAGGGGAGCCCCACCCAGCGTGGGCTCAGTGACAAGTAGCAGCCTAAATGGGCTTATGTAAAATTTATAAACAAGGAATATGTTGCCTCTAGAACCAAAAAAAAAAAAAAAAAAAATACTGACAGAATTTGGACTTGTATGTCCTTCCTTGTTTGTAAGGATTTTATTTGGTTACTTGAAAGAGCACGAGAGTGAGAGCACAAGGGGCTGGTAGGGGCAGAGGGAGAGGGAGAAGCAGGCTTCCCAGTGAGCAGGGAGCCTGATGCGCGGCTTGTTCCCAGGACCCTGGGTTCATGACCTGAGCCGAAGGCAGACGCTTAATGGACTGAGCCACTCAGTCGCCCCTGCACCTGCATGTCCTTAACAAGTGTGTCAAACAAATGTCCTCACAGTAGGTAGTCGTAAATGTGATGTCATACCTATGTCCCTGGAGAAGGACGGGTGCAGTAAGATCCTGCCCACAAAGATGTCTGTGATAGCAGAGAGGTTTGGGTGCCCTGTGCTTAACAAGGTAAAATGTGTCCCCTTCAAAGTCAAGGCACATTTGACCGAGAGGATGTTGAAATACGCATGGAACAGAACATATTGGCCAAATCTATATTAGCAAAATATTCCCCATCCTTAAATTTGTTGGGCTCCCTTGTGTTTTTTTTTAAAGATTTTATTTCTTTATTTTAAAGAGAGAGACACCTAGTGCACGAGCCCAGTTGGGGCGGGGGGGGGCGGAGGGAAGGGCCGAGTGAGCGATTCCCAAGCTGACTCCACCCTGAGCACGGAGCCTAACATGGAGCTGGATCCTATGAACCTGAGACCATGACTTGAGAAGAAAGCGTAGCCCACTGAGCCACCCAGGTGGCCCTAGGGGTCTCAGAGGTTTTCAGGGGACCAGGATTTATTTTAATCAGGTATGATAAGTTAGGAAGATATAGAAGTAACTGTCACAATGGAAGAAGTTTTGTAGATTTAGAGGCCCCAAGAAAGGAGGTTCTGAGAGCCTTGCAGGGCCACCTGGGGAAGCACCAGGATTGGTCAGGAGAAAGAGGGAGTGAAGGGAAAATGTGGGCAAGACCCTTTATTGTGGTTTCCATGGGAAGGGACAGGTGAGGCAGGATAAGCACGTTTAAGACTGGCTAGTTTGAGTAATTTCAGGGGGCTCCAGGCCAGAGTGGTGTCTGCAGGAGTCTGTCCCGCCCTTGCGGTGATCAGGGAGGCCATAGTGGCCCAGAGCTGCTTAAGATGAGGTGGTTGGCAGTAAGGGTTCTGTACCGGTTGGTTTGGATGTGAAAGGTATGCTCCCAGGCCAGTTGTGGACTTTTTCTAAGAATTAACTAAGCCTGCCAGGGACAGTCCCTCCAAAGTCAGCAAGTCTGAGATGTCAAAGCATTAAATACAGAAGCTAGAAAATACGGTTATTTTACTAGGTACAAGCATAATTGGAGCCCTGGTATCGAATCCATGAAGGTTACCCAACTGGTACATCTTAGCAGACATTAACGTTAATTCAGAACCTATGTTTTAGAGGGCCAAAAGCCAGTTGACCTCATTTTATCTTTTGCCATATAAATTATCTTAGTAAATTTGGATTTCTTTTTTTTTTTTTTTACGGTTTATTCATTCATTTGAGAGAGAGACAGCAAGCAGGTGTGAAAGAGCAGGAACCAGGGGGAGCTGCAGGCAGAGGCAGAGGGAGAAGCCGACTGACTCCCCTCCAAGCAGGGAGCCTCTCATGGGGCTCAATCCCAGGTCCCCGGGATCATGGCTGGAGCCGAAGTCGGACGCCTAAGCATCCGAACCACCCAGGCGCCCCTGTGAATTTTGGATTTCCAGTTGGGTCAAATTGTGAACCTATGTCGAATTAATTTGGGGGGGTTCCTCTTCCTGTATCCAGTTTTCTTTCTTCCATTCCTCCTTTTCTTGGGTTTGTTTGGTCCTGGATATATGCTTGGGTTAGGGAGTGTCTTTTTACCCTGTTCATCTTTCTCCGTTTTTTCTTCCAGAGAGTCTCCAATCAGCATCATTAGGGTTGGAGCCTCTGTCGTGGCAATGGTCGTATGGTTTCAGGTGTCCTGGCGTAAGTCAGGGTGTGAATTGATACCCTCACTGTGCCACAGGGGTGCCACGGATGTTTCCCCCACGACCCTGAGGATGGCGATCTTGTGCCAAACAGGTTTAGGCAGTGGGGTGGTAAGTGAAAGAGCACAGGACCCACAGCGCAGACGTTGATAAAGCCAAAGCATCTTCTGCTACAGCCCTACCTTCTCTCAGTGTGGACGGCTTCCCCTCCCCCCTTTTCCCACTCTACCGATTCCCTCAGGAGACTATTTCATTTCTAGCCCCATAAAGTCATGGGTTTTTGTTTCTGTCTCCAGCTATTCAGACGTGGTGCACATGTTCTGGGTGTTTATGGGGAAAGGGAGCTGGGTGGGTCGGCCCCACAGATGACTGTCCTCTTCCTGCGGGCATGCCAGTCCATCTCCCCAGTGTTGGAGTCCACAGCCAGGAAGGTCATTTTGTCCATGGCCAGAGTGGGAGCCTCAAGGCCCTGGATCCAGAGATGAGTCCCTGGACGCGCTGGGAAGCAACAACACTAAGAGAAAGCAAGTGTGTGGAGGAGGGGTTTTGCACTGGGAGAGAGGTGGAGCACCAAACGGCCGACCCTCCACTTTTGTGTTTCTCATCAGCTCCTGGGCCCTGGGCTGCCATGGATGTGCGCCTCCAAACCCTGAGGGCTCCGGGGGACACACGGTAACGGGGAGAGGAGCGGCAGCTGGGGAGATGGGCAAGGCCACTCGCGTTGCCTGACCCACAGTGACTCAGGAGGCAGCCAGGGAGCCATTCTTACATCTCCCTGGGGTCGTGGC